TCTGCAATCAGCTGAGCTTAAGATCCTGTCAATGAAGACAGCGCTCCTGGTTGCGTTGGCCTCCATCAAGAGGGTAGGGGACCTGCACGCATTCTCCGTTGACGAAGCGTGCCTGGAGTTCGGGCCCGGTCACTCTCACGTGATCCTGAGACCCCGGCCTGGATATGTGCCCAAGGTTCCCACCACTCCCTTCCGGGACCAGGTGGTGAACCTGCCAATGAAGCTGCCCCGGGAGGAGGCAGACCCAGCCTTGGCACTGCTCTGTCCAGTACGCGCACTCCGTGCTTACGTAGACAGGACGCAGTGTTTCAGGACCTCAGACCAGCTCTTTGTCTGTTATGGTGGGAAGCTGAAGGGAAAGGCTCTCTCCAAACAAAGGTTGTCTCACTGGATAGTGGACGCCATTGCTTTGGCATACCAGCAGCAAGGTCGACCATGCCCCCTTGGTGTGACCGCCCACTCCACCCGGAGTGTGGCGTCCTCTTGGGCTTTAGCGCGTGGCGCCTCGCTGACAGACATCTGCAGAGCTGCAGGCTGGGCGACACCTAACACATTCGCCAGATTTTACAATCTCCGAGTGGAGCCAGTCTCCTCCCGTGTACTGTCTTTTTCAAGCTAACACGGGAACCGTTAGGTGTCTTCGCTTGCTCGCCACTCCACTCCACGGACTGGATACGTGCGATATTTTCTCAGGTAGCCTTCCTCTCTGAAGCCCTGAGTTCCTCCAGCACTGTTGACGCTGGCGCCAGTGTCTATTGCCTGTGCGTCGGCTAGGTGCCTCCGTGTGCATGGTTCCTCCTCCGAGCAACCCCCACATGTGTATTTCCACTGTAAGCCTTTTTGAGCATGTGTCTTTCCCTCGGCAAGCCACCTTGCCACTCCTGGAGTTGAAAGTAGATGCCACCCCACGGGCTGGTCACTCCAGTGTTCCTCCATATGTAGCCCCCTCGGGCCATATGTGTATTCTTAAGTCCTCCCTACGGGTAGGCATGCTGCGGCATATCTCCCCTGAGATATGCTTCCCAGTGTACCTTGGTATTCCTGTGTTAAGTAGGACTCCTTCGTCCGTGCCTATATCACGACAGGGAGGTCAGACTTCGCAGGGCACTGGAAGACAGCTGTGAAGGTGGCGTGATTACACGGGGACCCCCATTTTCTGTCATCCGACGTAACTCGGAGTGACTACGAAAGGGAACGTCTCGGTTACGGATGTAACCCTCGTTCCCTGAGTAGGGAACGGAGACGTTACGTCTCCCTGCCACTTCCGCTGTACCGCTGGGTAGACGCCTGAGTTCAGTCTCGGCTCCTCAGCGAAGACATGTTCTGCTGTTGCAGGTGTCTCTCCTTAAATACTCACGCGGTGAGGCGGAGATACATTATGCAAATTCCGCAGACCCATGGCATTTCTTTGCCATTGGCTCGTTTTTTAAAACTCGAAGAGGATTGGCTTTCTGGCGAAATCCCCATTCTCCGTCATCCGACGTAACGTCTCCGTTCCCTACTCAGGGAACGAGGGTTACATCCGTAACCGAGACGTTTCCCTCAATTACCAGAAAAATCTCTGGTTGAGAACTTTTTGTCAGCCCCTACAGGTGGTAGTCGTATATCCTCTGTCTACACCATGTTACTTTCATCTAGTACGTCCTCTCTCCTGCCTAAAGATGCCTTTGGAAAATGAGCTGCGAATCAAGTTATCGGAAGAGCTATGGTCTGAGGCCCTTGCTAGAGTTAATTCTACTTCTGTATGTGCTCGGCTGAGTCTTATTGAGCTAAAAGTCTTTCATTGAATTCATCTTACCAAAGCTAAACTTCATAAAATTGTTTCCAGAAACAGGGGACTACTGTAACAGATGCTCCTTTTCTCCTGCCGATCACACCCATACATTTTTTAGCTGCCCAAAACTGGCCTCATATTGGGCTTCTTTTTTTTACTTCATGTCTAGAGCTCTGCACATTTCTCTATCTCCATGCCCTATAGTCGCCATTTTTGGTGTGTCTCACTCGTCATCCATCACGAGACAAAAAGCATAGGTTATTGCTTTTGCTTCTCTTATTGCTCTTATTCTTTTGTTGCATTGGAAGTGTCCAACCCCCCTCCAACTACCTCTTGGTTAAAAGATCTGATGTCATTCCTTTCACTTGAAAAATTGAAAAATTCGACCCGGGGCTCAACTGATAAGTTTTATAAAATATGGAACCCTATTTTAAATCTTTACGACTCTGTATCCTCACTAGATTCTGACTAAATATATCATGGGTGTGCAAGGTCTTTTTTATTTTTTATTATTATTATTATATAGCATAATCGCATGTAGAGACTGCCTGTCATGATTCTGCCCTCGTGTCCTTGATTTTCTCTAGTCTTGAGGCAGGATCATGACAGAATCATGTTTTGTGTGCAAGGACATGGTCTTGTGTTTTCAGCCATGTGCTTGTGTTGTCTCGTTACGTTACCCCGCCCCCTTGTTATCCTCGTCTCGTCATTATTGTCTAGTCAGTTTCACCTGTCCTTGTCTAGTCTGCTTCACCTGTCTTTGTCATTAGTGTTCCCCTATTTCATCCCCTTGTGTTTGCTGTCCTGTGCCGGTTCATTGTGTCACACTTTGTGAGAGTCTACCTGTGAGTACCTTGTCTTTGAAGAATGTCTTGATCTTGTGTTTGCTGTTTAATAGTCTAGTGTTTGTCAAGTGTTATCTAGTTTAGTTATCCCTCGTTTGTATTGCCTCTGTTTTGCCCCCTCGTGGGCTTTATTTTCCCCTGTTTTTCTGTTATAATAAACGTTGTGTAATTGTCTACCGTCTGCGTTTGGGTTCTTCTGCTATCATCATAACAGAATGCACCGGCCAAAACAGAACCCAGCGGACTGTATGTCTTTTCCTGCTATTCGACAGTCGACTGACCAGGAATTGTGGTGGCAGTCGGCCATCGCCGACAGCAAGTTGGGCAAGCTTCCTTTCCCTCCCCAGGGAGAGAGGTCCCTGAGGAGATATGCCCAGGCCGTGGAAGCAAGGAGGCTTTTCTTACCTGAGATCCTCACCAACCGTTACCTCATCGCGGGTCTCAATGTTCCCCCTCCTCTGGCTGAACGGGAGAGGCTGGTCCACCGCCCGTTTCAGGACATGGTGGACTGTTTGTGTCAGGAGGAGCAGCAGGGCTCCTCCACGGGCTCTCCACCTTGCCTGCCAGCTATTCCCGAGGGTCGAGTGATAGGCGTCGCGACACTTGGGGACCAGGCTGGCTCCCTCACTACTCCTGGCACTTCTTCTACCCCCTTCGGTCTTCGAGGGAAACGAGAGAGGCGAACCTCGTGGGACTCTCCTTCAGAGTCCTCAGCGTCGGAGTCTATCCTGCCAGAGATAACCCCTCCTTCGCACGACTCAGTTCCCGCCGTGCTTCCCCAACCCGTCTCAGCTCCGGCGATGGTCTCTGCTTCTCGACCTAGGAGAAAGAGGAGGAAGAGGGGAGCCTCCCGTTCTTCAAGCGCCATCCCAGATCCCACTCCAGCGAGTGCAGTCACAGAGCCCGCTGCAGTCACAGAGCCCGCTGCAGTCACAGAGCCCGCTGCAGTCACAGAGCCCGCTGCAGTCACAGAGCCCGCTGCAGTCACAGTGCCCGCTGCAGTCACAGAGCCCGCCGCTGTGAAGGCGGTCCCAGCACCCGCTGCTGAGAGAACAGTTCCTGAGCTAACTTCTGAGAGAGCTGTTTCCGAGCTCGCTGCTCCAGCTCCTGAGAGTACTGCACAGGAGAGCGCTTCCGAGTTTAATATGAGCACTACATCTGAGTCGATTACTTCTCACCCTGTCTCCTGTCCTGTGCTGTCTCCTTCCCTGTCCCAGTCAAGTTCCCCCAGCGCTTCTCCACGTGTCACCCTGTCTCAGTCTGGTTCCCCCATGGCTTCTCCTCGAGTGCCCCCACCCAAGTCCGCCCGGAATCCTCGTCCCAAGCCCTCATCCCGTGGACCTAAGACCCCCAGCACACCCATCCACCCTGGACCACCCCTCATGAACTCTGTGTTTCCTCCGCCACCTCTTCCTTGTTTATTATTTTTAATGTTTCATCCTAACCCTGTTGTTGTGTTTTCGTGTTTGCCGTTACTGTTATTTGTCATGTTTTGTTGGTTTGTGTCTGTTTCCCAGTCTGTCATGTCTCGTGTTTGATGTCCTCTTTTGGAGCGTCTGGTAGCCGCTCCTTAAGGTGGGGGTTCTGTCATGATTCTGCCCTCGTGTCCTTGATTTTCTCTAGTCTTGAGGCAGGATCATGACAGAATCATGTTTTGTGTGCAAGGACATGGTCTTGTGTTTTCAGCCATGTGCTTGTGTTGTCTCGTTACGTTACCCCGCCCCCTTGTTATCCTCGTCTCGTCATTATTGTCTAGTCAGTTTCACCTGTCCTTGTCTAGTCTGCTTCACCTGTCTTTGTCATTAGTGTTCCCCTATTTCATCCCCTTGTGTTTGCTGTCCTGTGCCGGTTCATTGTGTCACACTTTGTGAGAGTCTACCTGTGAGTACCTTGTCTTTGAAGAATGTCTTGATCTTGTGTTTGCTGTTTAATAGTCTAGTGTTTGTCAAGTGTTATCTAGTTTAGTAATCCCTCGTTTGTATTGCCTCTGTTTTGCCCCCTCGTGGGCTTTATTTTCCCCTGTTTTTCTGTTATAATAAACGTTGTGTAATTGTCTACCGTCTGCGTTTGGGTTCTTCTGCTATCATCATAACACTGCCGATATTTTCTAATCCTCTTGGGTGGGGTGGGGGGAGGGGTTTGGGGTGGTGGTTCTTTTTATTTTTTATTTCTTCATTTAGTTATATGTTGTTAGGGAATGTGTAAAAGATAAATGTGCAGACAATGTTTTCTCTTTTATGCTTGTCTCTTTAATGATTTAATGTACACTTTTTTTTTTTGTCTGTACAATAAAAACTGTTTAATTTTTTTTTTTTAAATTCTGCTAGTTTCTCAAACTTACCTGCCCTGCCTTTAATGATTACATTTGATCTGTTCTACAGGTATTGAGTGGGTGGACACTAAGCACCGTACATTTATCGGGGTGTTCGGCAGTATTTCCTGGAGTTTAGGCAACATGCTGCTGGCCGGTTTTGCCTATCTGGTCACTGATTGGAGGATGCTGATTATTACTGTCACTTCTCCGCTTCTTCTTGCTACAGCAACCTGGTGGTAGGGGAACACCATTATATCCCGAGTCTTCCTCACAGTCAGGGTCTGTTTGTAAGGTCATGACATGTTTTTCCTCGGCTGGAAAGATTTGTCTTTTTTTCTTTTTCTTTTTTCATTAAATTATTTTTAATTAAATGTAATTAAAGTCATAAGCAAAATGTCTTGACTGTTACTTTTGATCAATTTAATGGATTTCTTTCAAAAACTAAAAAAAAATGAATGTTTCCAAACTTTTGACAGGTGCTGTACATATATATACACTCACCGGCCACTTTATTAGGTACACCTGTCCAACTGCTCGTTAACACTTAATTTCTAAGCAGCCAATCACATGGCGGCAACTCAGTGCATTTAGGCATGTAGACATGGTCAAGACAATCTCCTGCAGTTCAAACCGAGCATCAGTATGGGGAAGAAAGTTGATTTGAGTGACTTTGAACGTGGCATGATTGTTGGTGCCAGAAGGGCTGGTCTGAGTATTTCAGAAACTGCTAATCTACTGGGATTTTCACGCACAACCATCTCTAGGGTTTACAGAGAATGGTCCGAAAAAGAAAAAACATCCAGTGAGCGGCAGTTCTGTGGGCGGAAATGCCTTGTTGATGCCAGAGGTCAGAGGAGAATGGCCAGACTGGTTCGAGCTGATAGAAGGGCAACAGTGACTGAAATAACCACTCGTTACAACCGAGGTATGCAGCAAAGCATTTGTGAAGCCACAACACGCACAACCTTGAGGCGGATGGGCTACAACAGCAGAAGACTCCACCGGGTACCACTCATCTCCACTACAAATAGGAAAAAGAGGCTACAATTTGCAAGAGCTCACCAAAATTGAACAGTTGAAGACTGGAAAAATGTTGCCTGGTCTGATGAGTCTTGATTTCTGTTGAGACATTCAGATGTTAGAGTCAGAATTTGGTGTAAACAGAATGAGAACATGGAACCATCATGCCTTGTTACCACTGTGCAGGCTGGTGGTGGTGGTGTAATGGTGTGGGGGATGTTTTCCTGGCACACTTTAGGCCCCTTAGTGCCAATTGGGCATCGTTTAAATGCCACGGCCTACCTGAGCATTGTTTCTGACCATGTCCATCCCTTTATGGCCACCATGTACCCATCCTCTGATGGCTACTTCCACCATGTCACAAAGCTCTAATCATTTCAAATTGGTTTCTTGAACATGACAATGAGTTCACTGTACTAAAATGGCCTCCACAGTCACCAGATCTCAACCCAATAGAGCATCTTTGGGATGTGGTGGAACGGGAGATTCGCATCATGGATGTGCAGCCGACAAATCTGCGGCAACTGTGTGATGCCATCATGTCAATATGGACCAAACTCCCTGAGGAATGCTTCCAGCACCTTGTTGAATCTATGCCACGAAGAATTGAGGCAGTTCTGAAGGCAAAAGGGGGTCCAACCCGTTACTAGCATGGGGTACCTAATAAAGTGGCCGGGGAGTGTATATATATATATATATATATAAGAGATTGGTTAATACTTTAATAGGTGGATCCCTGAATCAGCACGATGGCTAATAGCCAATGGAAAGGCAGAAACAGCATACAAGTATCTGCAAAACTGTGCTACTTTTAACAAAAGACGAGACTTCAGTTCTAGAGTCAAGCCAGAGGTAAACAGGGTCTTATTTGCCATCTATGTTTTCCATCATTTAGATATTTGCAAAGAACTTATTTAAACAGTAACACCATTATTTCTGTTTCTATCTCAGTCTCTGTCCACTGTAGCAACTCAACAGGGTCACAGTTACACTTATTTAGACCTAGTCAAAACCCCACAGCTGAGGAGACTCACACTCTTTACCGGAATAGTGTGGTAGGTTTTTACTAATTTAAGTATTTTATTTTAGAATTGAAGAAAGTGCCTCTTTTTAGTGATGGAAGCAATGAGCCTACGTTCATCTTCCCTTTTTGTAGGTATGGAGTTTCTTCAACGTACTACGGCATCAGCTTAAACATCACCGGCTTTGGGCTTGATCTTTACCTGACACACTTCATTTATGCAGCCATAGAGGTGCCAGCAAAATTCGTCTTATACTTTAGTCTCAACAAGGTCGGCCGTAGAGTCACTCAGAGCGGGACACTGGTGCTCACAGGATTTTGCATACTCATCAACATCATCACACCTACAGGTTGAATACCTTTAGTTGCAAGTACACTTTAAATCAGTGGTTATCATCAAAAAATAGTTTCACGACTATGGTTCCAATAGGGTTAAGGTTCGGATACCAACGTTGGGATACCACAATAAATGCGCGCATCAGCTTTTAAAAGGGGGTGAGAAAACACTTGTTGATGACGTCAAACGCCATACAGCAGTCAAACTATTAATTTTGATACAAATCATAGAAACTGGCCAAATCTGCAGATGCCGACATGGAATGATTGTCCATCCTTGAAAATCATAAACAAAATTATACAAGCCTAGATTTACCTAACAACAAGCCTAAACAACTCTCTCAAATATTTTGAATTTGGTCTGCAGTACCCATTTCAACCCCTAGCATACTCTTACATACTGCACCTTTAAACACAGGTACACTCACAACAAGGATAGACATTTTATTATGACCACAGTTATTTTTTTATGGTGAATTATTTGCCTTCGAAACCACTGAAATGCATATTTTAAGATATTGCAGGTACATGTATATTAATAAATTGAAATGCCTAATTTCAAGGACATTTTCTTTTTAAGGACATATTTTGATACTGGTTTGGGTCGCACTGTGGATCCAACGTAAAATCTAGTCTTAAAGAACCACTGCTTTGCTCAAAACAGTTTTGCCCATCTTTTATGGATGGCATAGGATGACGTGTGATTTGGTTGCTTGATGATTTTCTCTGACTTCTTCTGTGTGAATGTCTGCGGGTCTAGAATTCTGGACTTTTCGGACTGTGATTGCAGTGTTGGGTAAAGGACTTTCAGAAGCTTCGTTCACAACTGTGTTCCTTTACACCACTGAGCTCTATCCTACAGTCATGAGGTTAGAATCTACCATGTCCCTTTTCGAATTATTAAGCACTCTTGTTTTTGAAAATGCTTCTGTTATCTCCCTTTCACGTCTATAGGCAGAATGGGCTTGGCTACACCAGTTTTATGGCACGTTTGGGTGCATCCATTTCTCCTCTCATCATGCTCTTAGAAGACAAGTGGATGGTCCTCCCAGAGGTCATTTTCTGCACATTGGCCATCTTTTCTGGTCTCATCGCTTGGCTTCTCCCTGAAACAAACAACGCAAGATTGCCAGAAACAATAGAAGATATTGAAGAGACGAGGTATAAGAAAAAGAAATGACAGCAAATACAAGACAAAATGTTTTCAGCTTTAGTTTGTTGTATTGTATTCTGTTATTTTGTTCATTTTTCTAATTTTTAAATTCACAATCATTTGCTTTATTATTGCAGAAAGAAACCTGTCTATTTCACAACAGAGGATCAGAGTAACATTCCTTTAAAGTTGCCCATCTCTACAGACACTACGCAATGATATGCAAATCACTTCAAAAGCACAAATCATAGTAACAAGTCTCATAAGCTGTACTTGACATCACATCCCACCTTTTGTATATAACTAATAAAACTTGAGTCATGGTATACTAATTACTTACCTCTAGGAATTGAGAAATCTAGATTCAGTCTTTTTTGCCCATGCATTACCTAACTTTATATACATATTTAGTTAATCTCTTTATTTTTAAAGAGGACCTATTATGTTTTTTTACATTTTCAACTTTCTTTAGTGTATAATGTTCCTGTTTGAGCAGGGAAAAGGTCAAAGTTACAAAGCACAAAGTCCACTCCATAGTGAGTTAATCTCTATATCAGGAAGCATTGTTTCTGAACTCTCTGAAATGCTTTGTTGTAGTCTTTCTTCTAGAATGACATACACATCACAATATCCCTCATTTAAATAATTCCTGCCCAAGTCATACACAAAAAAGGGGAGGCATGGCTGTGTTAGTAGTGTATTGAAACTAGCGGTTAAAGTAAGGGGTGTGGCATTTCTGGAATAGCTCGAAGGAGTTGACCAATCACAACACACTGGTCCAGCTGACCAATTAGAGCACTTTACGCTTTTCAGAAGGAGGGGCTTCATAGAGACATGAACTAAACAGAGCGATACAGACAGAGTGGGGAACCAGGTGCTGCAACAATGTAAAATATGTGAAGAATAATGTGTTTTTTGAACATTCAGGCATGAAAACCTTTTCTAGTAGACTCCAAAAACAAAATCCAGACTTTAAAAAAGGGCACAATATGGCTTCTTAAGTGTGTTTCCCAGCACCATGGACAGCACCCACTCAGACCAGGATTAGTATCTGGACTCTGTGTGACAAACAGCACCCTGGACAGCTCCACATTTTCCAGAGTCTGACTTCTGTTACTTAATGAGCTGTGGAAGTGGCAACACTCTCATGTAATTGACAACTTGTCATTACAGTTTCCTCTCTCCTGTGCCCACCACTTAACCTAGTTATTTTTACACTCTTTTGAATTTGATATAAATGCCTTTCTCCTCTCTTTCCCACCTTTCTTGCCACATTTGGTTAGTTTTTTCCCAGATGATACTTTTGACCTCTGCTTTACTTATTTTAATTTGCGTTTCTATATTTCCCTTCTTTAAAGCCCTCTTTGCCAATTCATCCACCTGCTCATTCCCTTTCACCCCTACATGTGCTGGAACCCACATAAAGTGTACCTGTCCTCCTTGATTTGTTATCCTTGTAACTGACTGAAGAACTTCATTCAATACATCCTGGTGGCTTTTTGAGTGAAAAGACCTTAAACTCACAAGGACTGAGGATGAATCGAAGCATATCAGCACCTTTTCTTGTCTTGTTTTTTCCACCCACCTTAACGCAATTAACACCGCCACCATTTCCACTGTGTATACTCCTAAAAAATCTGATGTTCTTCTATTAATTCCTATTCCTTTAGCAGATATTGCCACCCCATATCCTGTTACTCCTGTCTCAGGTTTCTAGGGATGGCTGCCGCGAAACAGTCGTTCCGAAGCTTTGCGACATCCCGAAGCGCAGATGTTTCGAAACACTGATTCGAAGCGTGATTCAAAACACCCATGTCACGTGACTATGGCCAAACGAAGCCTCGAAGTGTTCCACTAAGTGTTTCATCAGGTGTGATCCGCCGAATCAGCATTTGATTGACACGGTCGGAAACAGACCACACAATCGCACATCTGTATAAAAGTGAAATCAACGCATATTGACCTCGTGGGTTTTTGTGAGGGGAGTTTGATTTTGAGATAGTGGATTTTTGGTGATATAGTGCGATTTGTTTAGTTATATTTAGGCTTATATTTAAATTTACACAACACATTGACTGATAGGCTAGAGACACAGAGTATACATATAGTGACACATTAATAGGTAGATATAAATATATATAGACAGCTAGATTAATAGATAGATAGATACATATATAGATAGATTAAAGATAGGCTACATATATAAATACATAGATTATAGATACATTTATAGATACATATCTAAATACATACATAGATTATAGATACATATACAGGTCCTTCTCAAAAAATTAGCATATTGTGATAAAGTTAATTATTTTCCATAATGTAATGATAAAAATTAAACTTTCATATTTTTTAGATTCATTGCACACCAACTGAAATATTTCAGGTCTTTTATTGTTTTAATACTGATGATTTTGGCATGCAGCTCATGAAAACCCAAAATTCCTGTCTCAAAAAATTAGCATATTTCATCCGACCAATAAAAGAAGTGTTTTTAATAAATAAAAAAAAGTCAACCTTCAAATAATTATGTTCAGTTATGCACTCAATAGTCAATACTTGGTCGGGAATCCTTTTGCAGAAATGACTGCTTCAATGCGGCGTGGCATGGAGGCAATCAGCCTGTGGCACTGCTGAGGTGTTATGGAGGCCCAGGATGCTTCGATAGCGGCCTTAAGCTCATCCAGAGTGTTGGGTCTTGCGTCTCTCAACTTTCTCTTCACAATATTCCACAGATTCTCTATGGGGTTCAGGTCAGGAGAGTTGGCAGGCCAATTGAGCACAGTAATACCATGGTCAGTAAACCATTTACCAGTGGTTTTGGCACTGTGAGCAGGTGCCAGGTCGTGCTGAAAAATGAAATCTTCATCTCCATAAAGCTTTTCAGCAGATGGAAGCATGAAGTGCTCCAAAATCTCCTGATAGCTAGCTGCATTGACCCTGCCCTTGATAAAACACAGTGGACCAACACCAGCAGCTGACATGGCACCCCAGACCATCACTGACTGTGGGTACTTGACACTGGACTTCAGGCATTTTGGCATTTCCTTCTCCCCAGTCTTCCTCCAGACTCTGGCACCTTGATTTCCGAATGACATGCAAAATTTGCTTTCATCCGGAAAAAGTACTTTTGACCACTGAGCAACAGTCCAGTGCTGCTTCTCTGTAGCCCAGGTCAGGCGCTTCTGCCGCTGTTTCTGGTTCAAAAGTGGCTTGACCTGGGGAATGCGGCACCTGTAGCCCATTTCCTGCACACGCCTGTGCACGGTGGCTCTGGATGTTTCTACTCCAGACTCAGTCCACTGCTTCCGCAGGTCCCCCAAGGTCTGGAATCGGTCCTTCTCCACAATTTACCTCAGGGTCCGGTCACCTCTTCTCGTTGTGCAGCATTTTTTGCCACACTTTTTCCTTCCCACAGACTTCCCACTGAGGTGCCTTGATACAGCACTCTGGGAACAGCCTATTTGTTCAGAAATTTCTTTCTGTGTCTTACCCTCTTGCTTGAGGGTGTCAATGATGGCCTTCTGGACAGCAGTCAGGTCGGCAGTCTTACCCATGATTGCGGTTTTGAGTAATGAAACAGGCTGGGAGTTTTTAAAAGCCTCAGGAATCTTTTGCAGGTGTTTAGAGTTAATTAGTTGAGTAATGAAACAGGCTGGGAGTTTTTAAAAGCCTCAGGAATCTTTTGCAGGTGTTTAGAGTTAATTAGTTGATTAAGATGATTAGGTTAATAGCTCGTTTAGATACCCTTTTCATGATATGCTAATTTTTTGAGATAGGAATTTTGGGTTTTCATGAGCTGTATGCCAAAATCATCAGTATTAAAACAATAAAAGACCTGAAATATTTCAGTTGGTGTGCAATGAATCTAAAATATATGAAAGTTTCATTTTTATCATTAGATTATGGAAAATAATTAACTTTATCACAATATGCTAATTTTTTTAGAAGGACCTGTCTCTAATTACATAGATAGATTAGAGATACATATCTAGATAGATTTGGATAGATAGATAAAATGGAGGCTCCCCAGAAGAGATGCTGTACATCTGTGGTGTGGGAGCATTTCCATTTAGAAACCCCAAATAAAGTGAGATGTGTGTATTGTGATCGGCAGCTCGCCTACTGCAACAATACATCATCCAGTAGAAACACAGGACAGTTTATGGGAACTTTTTGATACCCGTATCCATCAAACCTAGATGATACACAATGCTACAGCTGATGCCACAGTGGAAGTGAAAAAATACATCAACGATGCGTATTTGCCCAGAACTCATGATCCACTAACTTACTGGAAAGAGAGAGCAGTAATATTTTCTTCATTTGTATGTATTAGCTAAAAAATATCTTTGCATGCCAGCAACAAGTGTCCCTTGTGAGAGGATTTTTTCAAAGGCTGGAGAAATTATCTGTAAAAAAAAAGAAGTAGGCTAAGTCCTTCCACAGCAGAGAAATTAATATTTTTGAATAAACATATGTAAAAAAGTGAGACATTGTGGCTTGATTTATTTTATTAATATTCATTTTGCAGGACCAAAATAACATTATGCACAGTGAGGAGCCTATAGGTTGCCAGATTCACATATTAGAAAAGTACAATAATAAAAAATAAAAAAAAATTTCATGGCTCGTCAAGGTTGTTTCAGATCAACACCTGCAAGTGACCACTAGGTGTCACCGTGGAGACGGGTGTCGGATTGATTCGAAGCCTCGAAACAATATGGACCATTTGGTTCAACTGTTTCATTGCTTCACGAAGCCTCGATCTGCCCATCACTACAAATAAGAGTGCATAGAGCTTACATAGGCAAGAGTAAACGAGATAATAACACACAGGTAGAAGTAATTAGAACATGATTAGTCCAGGCAATGGGTTATGGGAAATGTAGTTCATGGTGAGATAAAGCAGATGGATCGAGTGTCCTCTGGTGAAGATCATGATAGTTGGTGGTTGTGACAATGGCAGTGTATTGTTTCTTTTGTTTGTTTAGCATATAAACAATAACAGCAAATTTCAGCAAGAAATGTAATTTTACATTTAAACTGTAATAATATAATATAATATAATATCTGCCTTTGTCCACAGTTTGCCTATGTATTGTTCAACACTGTTGTCATTTATTAAGCAGACAGTCCATCCAAATGAGGTCAGGCCTTCCGTTTAAACACTGTCTGTGTTAGATGTTAATTTACTAAAGGAAAAGGCTAATGATCTACATGCTTAATGATCTACATCAAATCAGTAAATGTGTAAGTAGACTTATGGTTGGACAAGCTCAAGTCCATATCACCCTCATTGCTTCTTTTGAGCCACATC